CCCCCTATAACACTGTTGATTATTCCGTTTTATATGAATTCCATGTTGTACGAGTCACTTAGATTTTACAAATACATGAGCCGTTCACAGCCCGGCACACGTATTTGTAAAATCTAAGTGACTCGTACAACATGGAATTCATATAAAACGGAATAATCAACAGTGTTATAGGGGGGGTCGACTGTGACGCGCTATACCATTATCTGCATGGAATCGAAAGTGTCACCACGCAGAGTCTCTCGAGTCTCCGTAGATATAACAAACACAGAAATCAATAGCACAAAATAAATTGTAGCTACGCGTCGATTCCGCGCGACACGTCCGAACGCGTAAGCCGAACATTAGTGTGGGGGGGAGTGAGTAATCGAGAGTTGCGTGGCGCTCAAACAAAAGAGGAATCGACGAGATTTGAAAATCGCGTAACTCCAAGTTCGCGTAAGTCGGGTAGCGTAAGTCGAGGTATTACTCTATACAAGTATTTATTTTTCACATCTAACGACTCGGGTTTTTTTATTTCCGAACGATACTTTCTTAATTCTAATAACTGCCCTCCAGTGGCCGAGTGCATAAACCACCGAATTCTGGTAGTTAGTTAGTTGCGGGTTCGCGCATGGCCAGCGAATCGGCCACGTGGAGTTTTCTTCACGTTAGTAACACCTAAAAAGGGTCCAACTTCAAATAAAAGTCTTCCCGAGATGCATCCGGTCGGCAGATCGTTCAAAGTGTCACGTTACCGTAACCACATAAACCAACTAAATTTTAAGCAGCGATTGTTTATGGTGACATTGTCACAATGCCGGGCTGCAATTTTTCGTCACAATGTTCTCGATTCTTTTAGTGGTGTTCTTGCCTCTGTATATTATACTGCTCCTGTTAGCAATAAAGTTGTGCCGGTTATCTTTCTAACTCCGTTCGGGGAAAAATTTTGAATAGAAGTAACTTGACTTCCGGTTTGCACCAGAAGTTCTATACTTAATTCGGCCTCCCGATTTAAGCTTTCCATGTTTCGTTTCGACATTCATCTATCTAACACGTTTCTCGAGTTTAAGGAATATCACACAGACATTGGACCCTACTAGGAATTTATATGTCTACAATTTTTTTCAAATTGCAGCCCAATAAGTTTTCTATAAACGCTATATTTACGAGATCATACTACGTACGGTACTTTATACCATCTATTTCAAAAACTTAAACACTTTATTATCACATAAAAGCAATTATTCTGTGATTTTTTTTATTTAAACAAGTGATATGAAGACTTTCGGATGTTAAAGTTAAGAACTTCGATCACGTGCGGGCTATCACAACCTATCCAACACCGATCATTTTTCAAATATTAATGGTAGACCAGTATTGATCAGTAGTCGTTGACTATCCTCTCTTCCGGGAGGAGGTCAACGACTACGTTTGGTTGAATTACTTCAACTTACGTATAGTACAACAAACTCTTACGTAAGATAACCTTTGTACAGTACTTATATATTAATATATCCATTATTATAATGTAATATAATAGAAAGTTAGAAGTACGAAATAATGTAATAATCTCGGGCAACGTCGCCTTTCTGCTAGTATTTTATAAAAGTCATCGCTACCCTCAAAATTAAACTTTTTGCCATTTTATAATAAATATATAAAATTTTTACAACAAAATCTGGTAACAGATGGCGCCACGCACAAAATAATTTATTAATAATAATATAAGAGTTAAATTTTTTAACGAAATGTGATTACGACGGTAATTTACGCAACCGGTTGACGGATGTTTTTATTAAAAATTTACAAATTTACGACTAATGTGGATTCTTAGATATTAGGCATGTTTTCGTAGAGAAGCGTATAAACCTAAACTGGCACGTCCTATCGGGTATTTCTATTCCGCGTTTTGTGTATGTGGATAAAGATGTAAACCCCGGAATGCTACAAGCAAGTTCTAGATGGATAAATATTTGAAAGTAAGAGTAAACGATTGATTAGGCGGGAGGAATTTTTAAGTAAAAGAAAATTTATGCCAGTTACACGTATAAAACCAAAAGACCAATGAATTTTTTAGGCTATATATAAAGTGGTCGAGGTAAATTATTAGGTCTACTATCCGGTGACGACGAGTATTGTATAGAATATTTTACCACAATTTTACATGGGATAAAATAAAAATTGTAAAATAATTTTACGACTGGTTAACTCGGCAGCGTATACTTTAAGTACTGTACTGTATTTAAATTAGGCACGCCACCCGCCGTCGATCGTCGGCGCCACAGGAAAGAAGCGAAAAGTGGCTCACCTCGGATTTCAGTTCGGACTCCAGCTTCTTGGTGGCTCCTCTCTCTGCCACGTGACGAACGCCCTCTGAAGCGTAGCCTCCGTACTCCCACATTCGGAAGTCGGCGGCGTGCGAGGCCCCGATGATGTCGGAGAAGTGGGTCAGCCACTCATCTGAAAAGAGAGAAAAGTGGCGACGGAGGGTCCGGGTTCGGCCCGTCCCCTTCCCTCGCCCCGGCACACTTACTAGAGGGAAAGTCCTTGGGATGGGTGTGTCTGGACCACAGTCCCTCGAAGGTCACTTCGTATTTGGCCTCGTCGCAGGCGCAGCACTCGTCCATCACCTCCGGCTGCACGTCTTGGTTGTCTCGCTCTGTAAAGGCGCCGCTTCAGTCCCGCTCTTATTGTCAACGCGCGGCCTGGCCGTCGGACCTCACCTTCTTCGCACAGTTCCTTGGTCAGGCTGCCATCGTCCATGTACCACACGTCCCTCTGCTCCACCACCGTGGCCCTGCAACGAGGCCTCTTCTCAAAACCCGTTCTCTGTACCGCGGCCAGTAACGAGCTTAAGCCGGAAAGGCATTTAGTCTAAGGCGAAATATCGTCTTGGTAATATCTAGAAAAATAAGCCACGTACCCCTACGACCCGTAAGTTGATACGCGCGTGACGTAGAGAAACGTTGAGAGTTTCTACGTCGCACGTGTATAAAGTGTTGCGTAGTGTCGACGCGTAGGTAAAGTTCATAAAGTGCGTGTATCTGGTAACCGATATTGGATGGATGAAAGAACCCGGATTTCTTTTTTGTGGGTCGCGCGTTAGGAGAAACGACATGGACAGTAGTCGTAAGCGCGAAATTTCCTAATACGTATCCGAGCGAGCAACCCACTTAAACTCCTTTATCGCCAAACCACCAAAGTTTTATTAAACTCACCGGGAATGGAAACTCTCTGGTGGCAATTCTTTCTTTCGATAACCCCAATTTTTTTTCCTCCGGCGGTCCTGTGGGCGAGGGAACGGGAAAAAATTGGCAGCGGAATTCTCTTCCCACCCGCAATGAGTGCCCACGGCCCGCGCCTAGAATCCATTATTATTGGGTGAGAATTTTGAAATTGCGTACCTTTTAATTCCCACTGTCCGTCCTTAGTCTCCAGAACGGAGTTAGACAAATGAAAGTCGAGACCGGAGATGGAAAGATTGGAATATATAGTTAAAGGAGCCGGAAGCTGGGATTAAAAATATACGAACCGCACGTGGCCTTACTTCGAGAGAGTCGTTCGGTCTAGGTGACCGGACGACTCTCTCGTTAACGAGAAGTATGACGTAGGGCAGCGCTGTCCAACTTATCATAGCCCGCGGGCCATATTTTCTTTACCAAACATTTCGGGGGCCAAGAAGGTTGGTGATGGCTAATTGGTCGGCCGGGAATCACGCCACATGACATTTGCATAGTGCTACGGTTTAGTAAGCAGTAATTGGTCAGCGAGTCCGATGTTGACGCTATAAAAAGGCGTCAACATTTATGTTTATGTTCAGAGTCCGCTTGTGGGTTTGCGCCTCACCAACAAGCAGGCCATATGAAGTGTTTTGAGTTTCTTCATGGTTATGTTACCGCTAAAGCTCGGAAACTCGTTAATCTGCAGATTACCTGTTCGACACACTGGATATATGTCACTCTCGTCTAAGTTCGACTTGGGAATTTTTTTGTTCAATAATAAATGTGAATTCTTCTTCCTGGAAAAAATAAGACATTCCCTGAAAATAAGACCTAGCGCATTTTTCAGAGCAAAAATTAATATAAGACACTGTCTTATTTTCGGGGAAACACGGTAGT